CTGGAGCCCAGGGGCGGGGCTACGAGACGGGGGGCGGGGCTACGAACCGTCGAGGGTCTTGTGCAGTCACGGTTGGTCTCTTTTCACAAACTTGATTAAAATCAAGTAATTTGCCGTATAAATGTATTAGCCTTCTTTTCTTTTCCAACCACCCCAGGTTTTAATGTAACAAACACTCTGCAAATGCTGACTGCAGTTATACACGGAGCCTGAAGTCCTCACTGTCCCAACACCCCCAGGAACGAACATAGTCTCAGCAACTATTCAACCGCACATGGGGTTACAAGACTATTACTATGATGCAATTTTTGAAACGAGCTCCTTAAATTCAACATGCTCAGATTCTCAGCCCAAAAGCATCGTTACTGTGGTCTTGATCGTCTTAAACTTCCTAACACTCAGCTCTAAACTGGGGCTGAGAAAGTGCCCACCCCCGGAGACAAGCCCTGCAGGTGGCTTCCCCGCTGAGTGAGACCATCCAGCCTCCTGATGAGTCAGACACCGGTGAGGACCCAGCCCGCACAGCCCCTTCTCACTGAGCCACCTCCCACCCAGGGGGCAGCCTGTGTCCTGCCTTTGCCTCTTGGGACACAGAAATGTCTCTCTAAGGTGCATGGCTTGGTGAAACTGTGGATGTCAATAATACGGACCTGTCCATCTGATCGGAGCTGCATTGTTTCATAGCTCTAGCACCATAAAACTAAAACAAAACCCTGTTGAAGTCTGGATTCCTCTCACAGCTTTCTGACTGCAACTGTCCAAGCAATACCACTCCAGTGACACAAAGCAGTGGACATACATACAACTCTGGGGCAGGGGGCAAGGAAGACACCTTGGAGGGGTAATTTAACCCAAGACAGGAAGAATAAGGTGCTGTGCCAACACACTCACCCCAACACTGCTCAGTGCACCCCCAACATGCTCCCCTCGCTCACCCTGACACACCTGGCTATCCTGTCTCTCTAAACTCTTGAGGCTTCATTGTTTGTTCATTTCCTCTCCAGAAATCCTCAGGACGGGGTGCCTCCTATGCCCTCCCAGTGGGGACTTGCTGGCCCTCAGAAACCCGTGAAGATACCCAACCACAGTACCCAGAGTCCAAGGGACTAGGGGGGCAGGCAGGCCACATACCAGAGGCACAGAGCCCTGCAATGACCTGGGCCTGGGGCAAGCCGAAGGCAGAAGCCACAGATGCTGCAGCCCTGAGGCATAAGGAAGACTCTGGACATAGAAGCTTTAACACACTTTATGTGTGAGCCATCAGCGCTGGTCACAGCTGTGTCTCACTTCTCCAGGAAGACTTCCCACTCAGTTCTGCTCAGCTCGGGCCAGACCCAGCGACAGTCATGAAAAATGAGAGCATTAAGCCCTGGCTGGTGTGGCTCAGTGGATAGAGCATTGGCCAGCACACCAAAGGATGGTGGGTTCAATTCCTGATCAAGGGCATGTACCTGGGTTGCAGGTTCCATCCCCAGCACCAGTTGGGGCGGGTATGGGAGGCAACCAATGGATGCATCTCTCTCATATTGATGTTTCCCTCTCTCTCTCTCTCCTCACTCCCTTCCACTCTTCAGAAAAAATATCCTCAGATGAGGGTAACAACAACAAACACTTAAAAAAAGAAAAGAAAGAGGAATCATGCTAAATAAAAGAATCTTCATGTATTTAAAAAATAAGATTTAGAACATTATGCCCTGTTACAATACATCCCAAGTCTCCAGCCAGGCTGAACAGAGGAAAGGATGGTGGCAGCCTCCCCCGGCAAGGGCAGAGCGGGCTGGCTCAGACCCTGGACCCCTGTAGCTGTGCCTGGGGGTCCTGCAGAGCGATGAGTCGGTCGGCTTCCCTCCAGCCAGACAGCAGAGCCCCGTGTGTGGTTGAGTAAAACGTCCGATGTGTGGCTTCTCCTGCAAACAGTATCTGGAGCTGCAGAGAAGGGTGAGATTAGAAAGGGGTGCTGGGGTCAAGCTGCAAACCATATGCCTTCCACTTTGAGGTACAGAGCTGATGGTGAGGGTGTGGCTTTGTTCTTCACCTAATCCCACACCCTAATGTGGCCACAAAATAAAGGCAGGTGCTGCTCATGGAAACCGGCCCCAAACAGCCGACTCCCAGTGCCTTCCCGCCCAGGGGCCACATCATACCTGGGCCTTCCCTCTGTCCACAGGGAGGGGCTGAGCCAGCAGGTCAATGTCGTCCCCGGTGCTGCCCATGGCCACGTAACTATAGGAGCCCCTGGAGTACGGGGCGCTACGCCAACGAGATCTCAGCACACTCTTGGGCGCAGGAAGCTGTGGATTCCCTGAACCACAGAGATGCCACATGTGAACTCAGGACTCCTGCTACCACATCTGCAATTGGGCCTTCATTTTCAAGACTGAACAGTTTAAAATGAAAGAAACTAGCCAACAAGGAGCACAAGGTAGAGCCGTGGCCGTGGGCGGTCAGTACCTGTCGCCCGGCGAAGCATGCGGGTCAGAGACAGAAGCACCTCCTCATCCGACAGCGTCTCCATGAACTCGGACTCGAGTCCAGCGATGAACCCGCAGAGGACATGGGAAGACCTACATGAAGAACACACCACTGAGACAACCCATGTTGGGCCCAGCCCTACGCCTGTCACAGAGTCTCTTAGCGAGGACCCAGGCACCATACAGGGAGCCAACAGCATCCACACAGTGTCCCCCGGGGGCTTTCCTCGAGTCAGGGTGCTGCAAGTGTGGGCCACAAGCTCCTGGGGGTCCTTCTGTCACACTGGACGGTGCCTGCTGTGCCCATGTGTGAGATCAGCAGTGGGGACACTGCTGACCCTGAGCAGCACTGAGGCCACGATGGCCCGTACGAGCAGCGTTCCCCTCCACACACAAGGGGCAAAAGAAATGTATGTCTGGTCCACACAACTTAGCCCTTCAAGTGTGGGTCTATAATCCCACAATTTATAAGGATGTTTTATTCAATTATTGAGTCGGGTTTAAGTACTGCCTCCCAAATATAGACACCTCCAGGTTTCCAACTTCTGTAACCTACGAGGCCTGCCTTCCTGACAATTTCAGCAAATACTTTCTTGCTGACTGAACATGCCTGCTGTCCACCAGCACATTCTGGGCCCCAGGGACGCTGACAAGCTGCACACAGTGGGCGCTCATCTGTCCCGCAAGGTGTCTGTCTATCATCAGTGCTTTAGGGTGCCCTCAGAATCCCCACCATTAAATCCTCCAGACACCTCACAGTGAATAGACACACTGCTGGATCCTAGACCAAAACGAGGCCGAGGAACCAGCCACTCTCAGCACTCAGGCCTGAGAAATGGGGAGTGTACATACTCGAAGGCAGGCAGGACCAAAAAACCAATCAGCTTCTTGACCCAGGCATCATGCAGCGGGGTAATGTCGTCCTCCAAGGGGGAAGTGTCCTCCCATACCACTTGGATGTGCTGGCAGCCCGGCTCCCAGAAGGGCTCCTCAAACTCCAGAAAGATCTTATTGTTGGTCCCAAAGCCTAGTTTCCTGATCGCTTCTGCCTTCTCAGCTGGCAGTGGCGGCTCGAAGAAGGTGTCCAGACGTTCTTTAAGAAAACCTGGAATTCATAATTGGACTTGACTTACACCATATAAACCTCCTAAACTGGAATCAACAACCACAGGAACCCACCCTGACCCCATCAGAGGAGTCAGAGAGAGGCCTCCCAACACACTGTGCCCACTCAGAACCCATGAGAGGCTGGTCATCAGAACTCACAGCCTCAGGGGGCCAGGACTGAAGTGGGGGGACATGAAAGGCCCCATGGCCACCTGGTCAGGCAGGGACAGTTCACATGCCTCACCCCAAATGCTCTGTAAGGATGGAGTCTAGCGTCTGAACCTTCTGCCTCTCAACCCCTGCAAAGCACACTACTCAGGATCCGTGAGGAGAAGAGGTAAGAGGCACAGGCCTCATCAGGGGCTACATAAAAACTAATCTGCTGAATAAAACAATTTAGCCCAAAGTCAAACAAAAATGGGATGAAATATTCATAGCACAAGCCAATCCCTTAAGATGCACATAACTCACTAGCTATTCAGTGAGAAAAGTGTGTGCAACCCCCAGGAAGCAAGGCATGGGGTGGTGAGGACCAGGAGGGGTCGTCACACCCTCCACAGCCATCCCCACCTTTCCAGATCTTCAACTCAGGTCCCCCTACTTCAATTTATCCTACAGACATTTCCGCACCAGAGTTCTTAAACGCACATGCAAACATCGCATGAAACAGAAAAAGTGAAAGCAACCTAAATTTCCATCCATACTAAGTAATATTAAGCAATGATACCTACATACAAGGAAATTCTATGTGGCTGTAAAGAACAAGTGTGACAGGGGACCTGGCTCCCTGTGACCAGTATGGACAGCCATAACAATGCTCCTACAGATCGCAGCATGGGCTTAGTAAGCATGGGCAACTATGAATAAACAAAGCCATTGGGGTAAAAGAAAAACAAAAAACTGATGGATAGTGTGTGCTGATGTGGAAACAATAGCAAAAAGATCTATTAAGCCAAAAAGGGGAGGGAGGGAGAGAGGGAGGGAGGGAGAAGCAAACGGAGCAGGAGCAGCAGAACAAGATGGTAATATGTCCGTATGATTCCACCTGTGGGACACAGAGGAGACTTTTCATTTTACGTCAGCTCTGGCACCTGCTAGCTTTGTGAACTTGGGCAGTTAAGTAATTTATCTCTGTTGATATTTTTCAAACAGGGGATGGGGCCAGGTAATTCCTCAGGCTGCCTCGAAAGTAAATGAGACAATGCTGGCACAACTTGGATTTCGACCATCTCCACCTTTTATCAAATTGCCAATTCCTACTCAAAGCCTCTGTCGAAAGCATCAGCTCTAGGATTAAATAGATCATGTACTTGAGTCCTTCCTTGATGACTGCTGGGATGGAGTTGTGGGAGAGAGCCAGAGGCAAGGGCGCCTGGGACAGGGAAGGGAGGAAAACCTGCCTGGAATGTGACCTTACCTAAGGGCACGGTAAGGACCACGTGATGTGCTGGGAAGCAGCCTCCATCCTCACACTCCACCAACACTGGAAACGTCTCGCCAGGAGACCCAGCTTCTTTGAAGGACCCATTCCAGTGAATAGTCTTCACGGGCTTGTTAAAAATTATCACGTCCTGGGGCAAGGAGGCCACTATGCAGTTTGTGAGTCCTTGGTAGCCCCTGGGAGAGACAGGGTGTTGGCATTTAGAGGAATCGCCTGGAGGTAAGATGCTGGAAGAGCCTTCCAAGGAGCTGCGGCAGCTCAGGTCCCCACTCAAGGCTCAGCAGAGGAGGCTGGGAAGGGGGCAAAGAGGATATGGGGAGCCTTGTGCCAGGCTCCACCCTGTGGCTTCTGATCGCCCACAGGAATGTTAACACCTGCCTCCTGGTTAATGGGAGGAGTGAATGGGCAATGGACTCAAAGCTACCCAGGTAGTGAACGAGGGCCCGTCCTGTCTGCCCAGTGCTCTGGTTCTGAGCATTCAGAGTCATGAATGCCCTCCCCTGGGCAGAAGCCTGGAGGGAACACCTGGGAGAGCCCAGGGGGACAGTCCTGGGGATGTCTCACTAGTGTCTGGTGGGGGGACAGCCACCCTGCCACAGGGAAGGGCCCCTCACACAGTGCTTAGCACATAAAGGGCCTCGTAAACACGGGAGAAAGGAAGCACTGCAAGATGCATTTCCTTCTTTTAATCACTTTTTCTTGAAAATAATTATTTCCTTTTCTTTAAAGGAAACAAATGACCAACTTTCTAAAAAGAAATGACAAGCCCAGACAGCATGTCTCAGTGGTTGAGCATTGACCTATGATCCTGGAGATGCTGGTTCAATTCCTGGTCAGGGCAATTGCCCCGGTTGCAGTTGCAGTTGGGGACTTGATCCCCAATAGGGGGTGTGCAGGAGGCAGCTGATCAATGACTCTCTCATCATGGATGTTTCTATCTCTCTCTCCCTCTCCCTTCCTTTCTCTGAAATCAATAAAGATATATTTTTAAAATAAAATAAAATAAAAAATAGATTACAAAAGGCCCCCTTGTCCCAACCACCACTCCTGTGCCTCCCAAAGTTCCACCTGAGGTACACAGAGGGGGCTTGGGGAATGTGGGGAGAGGCTGGCATGCGTTAAGGGGGCTTGGGGTGCATGGAGGGGGCTTGGGGAGTGTGGAGGAGGCCTAGGGTACATGGAAGACTGGGTGGGTGCAGCATACACATACCCAGGAAAGGTACAGTCCAACCCAGGCAGCATGGTGTACTCCCCAAAGGGTGCAAGGGCCACCAGGTCCATGCTGTGGGTGCCACTCACACAGCACTCTAGGTTGAAGAAGTTATTCAGAATGGCCAGCTTGAGCTTCTGGGTCTCCTCAGCCTCGGTCCAGCCGGCCACGCGCTGGCTGATCTCCTTCTTGAGGTACTCCCCAACACTGGGCGCGGGGGCCTCGGCCGCGTGCAGGAACTCCCGGGACTGGTCTATGAGGCTGTAGTACAGGCTGCCCATCTCAGCCACCAGCTCAAGGCTCACACGTCCCCCGGAGCTGGTGTAGGACACGGAGGGCAGGTCCACGTGGCCTTCTGTCTCCATCAACTGGTTCTCCTCTGACAACGCCTTCTCCCCCAACAGCCCGTGTTTGGCAGCCAGCTGGAAGACTGGGTTGCCCTGGGAGGGCCCATGGATCCAGTGAGCACCTATCTCCACCACACCACCTGGGAGGGGACAGAGATGCCACCTTGAGGCCCTGTCCCCACAAAGGTGACCCTTGAACCCTTCTTCTGAATCACAGCCAGCTCTGCCCTTCCCAAATAGGCTGTGAACACCAGCCCGAGGACCACAGGTCCCTGAGGACCACAGTCCCTCACCGAAGGGCCTGGTCAGACCTACCTGAAGGCAGCTGCCTGGGGACACTGGAGGGGGCCCGGGAGCCACCAGGCCGCAGCGGCGCAGGCAGGTTACCTTCCCGCAGGGGAGGCCCTGCCAGCTGCGGGCAGCTGCGTTTCCGGGGCCCGTGAACTTGGGGTGGTTAGCTGGGGCGTGGCGCGGGTTCACGCCGGGCCGGGCAGGGCTTCCGCGTCGGGTAACCCGGGCGCAGGCCGGGCCCGAGGCCGGGCGGCACCGGCTGGGAGCCGGGGAGGGGCCCCGGGAAGGGGTTCGGGGAGAGACCGTTACC